CCATTTTTAGTGTATATTTATAATAATGCAGCAAATCTACAGTGTTTTATTAACCAAAACTGTTTTTCACGTTTTTCTCGAGTTGAAGTTTTGATCGAGTACGACTCATTGGGACCGCCGCCAAATCAAGTGCGTTCGGACTAGGACATTTAAACTCGCAGTTATCGTTCAAAAGATAATGAAATATGTCTGGGTTTTAAAGAAAATGCTTTGTCACAGAATAATAGTCTGTTAAAGGTGCCAAGTATGAAATAATTTGGGGACAAAAAAACAAACCTGCATAGAAATCGGAATAATAGGTCTTTTGATTATCGGAGACGCATTTCAATGGACTTGATTACGAACAATGCATGACGTAAATTTCACCAGGAAATTCCGCAGTGTGCTCTCGCAATCGCGGACTTAGTCATTTTTACAAGGTTCGCCATTTTTGATGTCACGTGATAATTATGTAAACAATGTCTGTCCAGTTTGTGCGAACTTGCACCTCTATACTTAGTCTTTTGATATATATATAACCTAAATTACTGTTCTGAACGAGACAACAGACAGAGAATGCTTTATTTAAAAACGTCACAAAACCTTCTCGCTACCTTAAATTTCTGGACAGGATGCTGCATACATTTTCATTGCATGTCACCCTATTTTGAGTATACCTTGAGTATAGCAAACAAACATTGCCCATACATGTATGCACCGTTGAATCCCTGGACTGCCTAAACATTAAATACCAGTAATATTTATTTTCGTATCAGGAAACTGTGGATGCAGCAGTCAAAGTGTTATTAAGTTTGAAATCGGAATACAAGTCACTAACAGGACAGGATTATAAACCAGGAGCTAAACCACCACCATCATCAGCAGCAGCAGCAGGCACTACATCAAAACCAGTGGACCCCGCTCAGTTAGATGCACTTGTCAGCAAAATTACCAATCAAGGAGATAAAGTCAGGATGATGAAGAGTCAGAAAGCTAGCAAGGTTTGTGGTTTAATTGATATTTTTGCTGTAAATATCAATCCTGTCAGAATGTTTGTTAAATATTAAAAGATAGTTTAATAAAATTAAAACTACTGATGAATTTAAAACAAAAAATTGGTCATTCCATCCATTCATCTGCCTTTTCGAAAATGACCATATCTTGGTTCAGGGGTACCAATGAAAGTGTAGCTTTTTAATGAAAATCACAGCTTTGACACCGTGCAGCATAGCTTGGTCAGGAAAAGCTTAGCTGCAGGAATGAAATCCGCTAGTTTT